GTTGGTTGATCTCTTACACACACACACACACACACACACACACACCCTATAACTTGAAAATTTGCCATGCTGGGAATACTCAATACCACGGAAGTTGGCAAATGCTATAGATCAGAGTCTCCACCACCCCAGGCACATCACTGTAAGGAAACTGAATTTGGAGGGCTCTGGGAGCCCTCTGGAATGGGCTGCTGTTGAGTACAGGGGCTAGCTGGGATTTGCAATGCTGATCACCCATCTCGGCTCTACCCCATTGGGAGCTGACATATTTATCTGCTACCTCCTCCCAGACCAGAAAAGAAGTCTGACCAGCCCAGGTGTGAGGAGCATGAAGAAGAGCGCATCAACATCTACTGTCTAAACTGCGAGGTGCCCACCTGCTCTCTGTGTAAGATCTTTGGGGCACACAAGGACTGCCAGGTGGCTCCCCTCACTCACGTGTTCCAGAGGCAGAAGGTAATGGACTCTCCCCTGCCCCTCCTCTGCAGCCCCTTGAGACAGGAAGGATGGAGGGTCCAGTGGGAAGGGATGCTGCATGCACATGACCTCACGTTTGAGTCTCTGGAGGTGGTGGGGAAGGCCAGAGAGGGAAGGGATGCGGGAGCTGGGTGGACGGAGGAGGGAGGCAGTCAAGAAGGGGATTGGATGGGGAAGGGTTGCTGTTTTTTGCGCCCTTTAGAGGTTTCTGAAGATGAACAGTGTTACGGGACTCTGAGCTCCAGCTGCTCAAACATTATTTGAAGTTCAGACTACAGAAAAGAAAAAGATACCTTTTTACTCCAGTCACAGAATGTTTTTCTTCATTTACCAACAAAAAATTTCTTCCCCCGCCCCCTCCACCCCGCCCCCAATTTCCTCCACTCTTAGTACAGGAGAGATACAATGAATGGCATTTCTTTAAGAACAATTTAAAACATTGCTGGACCCTAGCTGGTTTGATTCAGTGGATAGAGCGTGGGCCTGCAGGATGAAAGGTCCTGGGTTCGATTTCAGTCCAGGGCACATGCCTGGGTTGTGGGCTTGATCCCCGGTGTGGGGTATGCAGGAGGTGGCCGATCAATGATTCTCTCTCATCACGGATGTTTCTCTCTCTCTCTCTCTCTCTCTCTCCCCCTTCCTCTCTGACATCAATAAAAACATATTTAAAAAATAAATAAAACATTGCTGGGCTGGCCCTCAACACTAGGTGAAACCCACCTCTAGCCTTTTGCCCTAGGCCAGTTGATGAAAGGCCTCCTTTGAGTGTCCCCACCCCAGGGCCTCAGGCTCAGTCCTTTCATTCTGACCAAATGCAGCATCTCCCCCAGTTTACCACTAACCTGCCAATATGTCTCACCCATGGACAAGTAGGAACTTATCCATTTGATCCAAATAAATGTGGAGTCACGTGCTCAAATAGGTGTAGCCACTCTAGACACCTAGAATTTGAGCAGCTCCACACCTTGATTTTTTTTTCTGTTAGAATCATAGATTCCACATTTCTGTTAGAATCAAAGATTCCACATTTGCTCAGTGTTTTACTGAGGGTCAAATTTGGAAGCCAAACTTTTAAACACCACCAGTTCCCACCAGTGAGTACTAACTGCTAAAAAAGCAGTATTTCATAAGACATCTATAACATTTTTTTAATTTTATTTTTTATTACAAAGGGTAATTACATATGTGTCCATTTTTCCCCCCCGCCCTAGCAGTCCCCTAGCCTCCCCTAATCCTCAATGTCTTAACTACTTGTGATTTAATCCTCCTTTCCTTCCCCCCCTAGT